GCAAAGTAGGTGGCCGGTTCACTCGCTTATCTTCACGAGCCTTAAACAGGGAGATCTGGCTCGTTGCGAAAAATTAACTCACATCCCTAGCCCAACTAATCCCATCCGAAAGTTTTTTTTAAAATTTGGTATTTGTCTGAAAAGCGTTCACTATCATTTTAAATGTACAAAGTTTTTTTGTCTGATAGTTGATGTTAGATAATGTCTGAAGTCGAACGACTGTTCAATCTGTGCGACTCAGAAGGAAAAGGGTATTTAACGGAACAAGATCTTCAGCATATTTGCCCACAGCTCGACCAGAAGGTATTATCTTTAAGTAAAGATATCCGTTTGCGAAAAAAAAATCTTCTAGAAACATCTTTAGGACATTGAGTTTATTTTTGCGCAACTGGATACTGACGGATCTGGCAGAATAGACAAGGAGGAGTTCTGCAATGGCTTTAATAAAGCTGTACTTGAGGGAGAGAGTAGAGGTGTTGTTGAATGTATTTTGAAAGTGAAAAGTTTGTGAGCTTTATTGGAGCGAAACCCTAGGATATGGAGGAATGAAACGTCGTGCAAGTGTTATCGACTATTCTGGGAATTCAGATGAACATAAATTAATGGATATCTCTGAGCTTCCTTTGATACGTGCTGGAGAAGAAGTATTCGATAGCGATGCAGAAACACCGGTATGTTCAGTTACTTCTTTGAACTCGATGAAATTCCAAACTCAAAGGGCTATTGTTTAGACGTTATAGTTTAGGAGTTTTGCTAAACGTTCAAAATGTGGTAAAAGCATTTTATGGGAAGGTTTTCGCGAGTCCAAGCAGTTACATCAAAGTAATTATGCTGCAACGATCATAAGAGGAAAAGCGTAGATATCTTTGGGAAAAGACAGTGGCAGAACAGGAAATTGCTTTTTCATTTCTCAATTAAGAAGGGATCCAATCGAAAAATTTAAAGCGGCCTAGTTATGTGATTTATTGTTAGTTTCTCTTTGCTGAACTTCTGATTCCAGTTTCCGCGACCCTCTCGTCTCCGTACCCTTGATGAAGAAGTTTACAATTCAGAATCTGACACTAATGCAAGTATCGACTTTGCCTTGCCTTGGTAGGCTCTTTCGTTTCGAAGACCAGTTAGAGCGTATGAGCTTATTATTGTCAACAGAAGTGTGCATGAATTTTGATTGCGAAACGTTTCAATCTTCCAGCCATGAAGAGGTTGTTATGCTTTACCAACAGCTTCAATCAGCCGGTGTGCCACAACTTTTGCGGAAATATGAGCGAATAGTCGGATCATTCTATAAGGAAATAAAGGATCAGAAAGACGAAAATCAACGACTGCAGCACGTGTTCGAGACGTTAGTTCCTTCGTACTTTTGTGCTCAAAATTACTGGAGAACGATTTACAATACCCCTATAGCTTTTTTCTAGTCTCCTTTTCGAAATCTCATTATAAAACGAGCAGAACTTTTGTTAGAAGCAAAGGCTGTTCTTTTGATGAAATTGTTATCCAGAAAATTCGCGTAAACATTCCAAAACACTTTTCATTCAAATTTTTTGTTCTTACGCTCAACATTAAAGATACGCATAATATCTCAATTTCGATGGAGGTCAAGAAAACTAAGAAACGTTCTAGCTTTTTCTTAGCGCTCAGTAAAAGCACAATGATGAAGTTTTATTATTATATTTGCAGTGAAAAAGATATGTACAACAAGCGAATGGAGGAAGTTGAGCTAGAAATTGATCAGCAAGTGATGATTGCTGAACGGAAAGCCAGGGAAGAAGTAAATACCAATAGTTCCCTTTCTTTACAAACTATAAAGCGAGAAGCAAAGATTTTTGGATGTAAAGATCTTCTTTCCAGGAGAGGCAGAGATTGACCAAGGAGAAGGAAGAAATGCAATC